AATAAGAAAAACAAAAAAGAAAAAAAAAATCGGTCAAGAAAAAACATAACGAACGTTTTTGTATACCGTCGTTTTTATCCTATTCCAAAAAATTGTATTTAAGGAAAATTGATTCCATTTATCTACCCACAATCCAGTCGTCGTCTTCTTCTTACTGTGGTTTCCGGAACTTTTTTGATGCAAAGATGATTGCTGCCTTTAATGTTTGGCTTCAATATTGTCACCTGCTTTGAATATATATATATATTTCTTTAGATAACGATATTTTTTTTTTTTGACAGATTTATTATCATTTTAGATTTATTTTTGACTTTGATATCTAAGCTACAGTTTACAGAACATTTATCTACTTTACAGTATAACATATATTTCTTCTGCTTACCGTGGCTGCAAATAAAATTTCAATTTCTTGTTTGTCATGATATATTTGAGTAAAATATTTTGTGGCAGAATCGTATCGAACATTACCAATGAATCTTACTAATATTAAAATGATTTAAAAAAATAAATTGTCTTTTAGTAATAACAAAAATGAAAGTTCTTCTGTTGGCTGTCTGCTTGTTACCAGCTGCAAATGCATTCTTATTTGGTCTCGGCACTGGTTGCTGCTGTGGCTGTGGAATTCCACAACCAGCAAGTTGCGGATGCCCAGTTAGGGTAAACTATTCTCGGAATTGTTTACATTAATTTAGCAACAATTAAGCATTACTAAATTTGTAAGATGATCAACGATTGTTTTTTGAACATTTGAGCATGTTTTTCACTACACATTTACCAAATAGCAAATTTTAGTGCCCAGCTCCAGCTCCATGCCCACCACCAATTTGCCCAATCTGTCAAGTATGCCCACCACCACCAGTTTGTCCACCAGCACCGGTAGCTGTCTGCCCTCAACCTGAGCCTGTATATTATGCTCAACCATGCAGTCAACCACCGTGTCCACAACAGCAGTCAAGCTACATTTATGGCGGTGCCGGAAACAGCTATGCTACAGTCCCACAAACCTATCCACAGCCGCCACAACCTCAGTATCCACCACAGCAAGCTCCAGCACCACAAGGTTTGTCAAAGCAGTACAATTGCCTTCTTTACTTTGTTAACATTTCTGCTAAATTTTTTATTATCTTTTTTGAAATTTTTAGCTCAGTACGAT